TCAGTGAGGCGTGTGCCTAAAAAAGCCAGGTGTCCATAAAAATCAAGCAATAACTTGACAACCAGGTGACGGTTGCTAAGAAACTGCATTTTTCTGTGAACACATGGTGTATGAAGTATGGCCTAGATTCATACCCTACATTAAACATCTTCTTTGGAGTTATCTATGAAGTGTGATTTTTGCATAGCTTGTCAAGGTATATAAGCTACTCACTCATTTATCCTGCTCCTGCTATTAAAAATCATGTTTCTATACATAGAATATTATTCCAATGCCTTATCTGTTCTGAACTCAAGGTCGTTTAGGTTATAGACTGAGGCCTCCTTTGGCTCCAAAACATTTCCTTGGCGTCCAATGTTAGCTACCCTCTCCCGCAGTTACCACTGAGGAACCAACAACACTTTTGGTGTGTTAATCATGCTAAATGCAAAAATTAAAACATCTACAATGTCTCTACGCATTCCAAAATGAAGTAAAAATGAACCGGAGATTATCTTCAAGTCTTGAAACATAATGGAGATTTTGCTATATTCTGCCTAAAATAAGAAGTTGACTCCAGACCTTGAGTCAGTGGAGGTCCAAAAATCGCTGAGGGGCTGTGCCTAATTCAAAAGCTAGGGCTTGTTTGAAATAACTATCTCGATATTTAACTGCTATATTCGAAAAATTTTATTGCAAGTAGTGGAAACACAAATCAAGTTAGCTAAATTTGAAAAACAAAAGCATTTATTGAGACATTAAAATAATTTGGGTAACTCGTAAAATTGAAGAAACTGCAGGAAAAAACAGCAAAATACTGAGGCTATCAGGGCCTAGAACCAAGGACAGGTCAACGCCTCTCTCTCTCTCTCTCCCCGTGTCTTCTACTTCGTCTGGGCTTCTATTTCCTCGGGTTTCTCCTCGTGCCAGGGACGCCGCCGGAGGAGCTCTGTAGTCGTGTGCGAGAGGCAAGAGCTCCGGCTCTCCACGTCCTTGGAAATTTCTGGGCAAAGACTGTGCCTGGCTCAGCGTGGTGACTTGCCAGGCACTGGGTGGCACAGGGGTGGGGTTGAGCGCCATAGCCAACAATGCCCCATGGAGGGTGGGAGCCACCGGTTTCTACCAGGAGGAACGACGCTATTACAAGAATGGAAGAAGTCAAGATAAGCAGGAAAAATCAACAGAAGGTCGTTACTCCAAACGTGTTTGGCGGTGACTTCAGTATCACTTTCACCAATTTTGTCACCGTGAAATTACAGGGCAGGCCAACTCCTACCTTATACAATGTCCCCTCTAATACTCCCATTCTACAATGATGCTTTTTGCTTTTTTCACCATAAGACACCAAAGGATCACTATGACAGTGCAGCTGATTGTTCTCTGTATCCTTCTGTAAAATGTTTACACGCTGAAATTCTGAGGTTCAGTTCCCACAAATCAAAACACTTCTTTTTATTGAAACGTGAAAGTAATGATGGAAAAAGCAGAAAGATGCATATGAAGTACTTTCCGCCACGATTTCTAAGGTCTCTAAAATCAGCGTCTCCCAGTTCATTAACAAGCTCTTACGTACCTGTAAGAGTAGCAACGTTCAGGTCCCTGTGTACAATGACTCCCAAAGGAAGACTGTCGCCTGTTCCCGAGTGTAACAGGCAGAGTCCCAGCTCCGTGGCCACAAGCAGCAGTTCCCGGTGTTCTCACGCAGATACGTGTCGTAACGATCCACAGTGTCCTGTAAGGAAGGGCTGTGACCTACGGATATAGCTCATGAGAAAAGTTCCCATAAGGCACAAACTATTCAATAAGCATCTATAGAAATATGTCCACTCTTCACCTAGAAATCTATGTCTTTACTTAACAACGAGTGATGCTCAATGCCTAAGGAAGCGTTGCCCGATGGTGGAGTCTTTCATCTGCTCGAAAGGTTGTTACCTGCCGGAAGTGTGGTAAGTCCCCTTCCTAGACACCCTTCTCGGTCTGAACAGCTAATCACACGAATTAATCCAGCGTAGCTCCATCCCATCACTATAGGAACATCGGTGCGTGGCTTCCCGTCGCCTTTCGCCCCATTCGCTTTCACGTAGCACCAACTCCACCCCCAGTTACCCAATTCAGGGTCCTACTCGCTCCCGCAAATCCACACAGGCACCCCCTCTTCTGGGAGAAGGTGTTTGCTGCTGATCAGTGACAGTCACAGTGGGAGCAAACCAATGGTGCGCTCAGAGGAGGAAGAGGTGAGGCAGGCTCGCTTGTTTACAGAGGGACCAGTCACAGACGTGCAGGTGGGATGCAGGGAAACCACCGGTGATGCAGCACAAGCCCGGGGCCAAAGACGCCAGAGCCTGTCCCATCCCCAGGCCAAAGGGACAGAGAGACAGCGAGCGCCAGAAGCCAAGGAGAGGGATCCACAGACTGGTGCCGGCCTGGGAACCGTCAGGTGAGCCAGACACGGGACCATGGCCAGGTACGGAAACTGAGAGTGAGCGTTTGTGCATTTCAATACAAGGATCGTGTTTCTGTTGTATCTAATAATAAAAAGTGGGGTTCGTATTTTGCCATCCCTGTATTTTTTTTTTTTTTTTTTGAGACAGA